CTCCCCCTTACATCGAAAAGTAATCGGGAACCATGATTACTTCACTCATCAATACTAATTATATTATTAAAAAGAGTAGATAGAATTACCCTATTGATCAACATCTAATGGAAATGTTGAATATTAGTTCTGTCTGATTTTAATAAAGATTGATCTACTGGTACGTTGGCATCGCTATTATGATGAGGAAAGCAAAAAAAATGAAATTCTACACCCGTCTCCAGATAAAGCATATGAATCATTATTTCGTAATATTGAGTTATGATAAATGACGTGATGATAACTGAAGAAATTCCTTTTTTTTCTAGAGCTATGAAGTAAATATGTGTAGTTCTTATTCAATTATTTTTATAGAACCTTCTAACAGAACTAGAAATTGTTATGTATCGATACTTGCGGAGTAGCTTCTCAATTTTAATTCGTCCATCTTATGTTCAATCTCAAATACTGTACGAATGCAATTTTGACAATGCTACATTAAATGAAAAGTGCTTCACTACAGACGTTTTACTTATCTCAAATTTTGCATTCCTAATTGATCAACCATTAGATCATCCAGCATCTGACGTTACATCAACCTGTAAGAATAAGAATTATCGCTAATCATGTTCTTTGTCTATTGATTTTCTATCTAGTAAAGCCAATGAATAATGGGCAAGTGTGTCAATTACCCTACAAAGTAGGCAACTACACTTGAGACATGTATTTTTGCTACAAAGGCTATTGTCCAACAGAAAATGATGAAAATAGCGAGTGTGCACCAGGTTTGCATAACAGCCGATAGTTGTCATGTTTGCTCCTATTAATATTAATATATGATTATAGGACAATATGATGCGTTCCAGTTTTGTGATAATACAACAAATTCTTTCCAACTCAAGGCTGAATTAAATAACATCAATGTTACCAGTGAACAATATCTTATCTATTATTATTACATATCAAATATTAGCCAAAAACGCATACCAATAATTAAAGAAGTGGATGGTACTAATGAGACAATCGATTTTGTTACCAGTAGTCATTTTAATGGATGGACTAAACATGAAATACTCTTTAATGCAACAGAGTCTGGTTACAAGGTGGAAAATTCTAAGTTTTCTTTCTTAATAGAAACTTTATTTTATGTATGCTATAATAATTTTCAGATCTATTTCGATTTACAAAAAACATCATCGGAAATATCTCTCTTTCATATTGCATTGGACGAAATATCAATTCGACAAGTCAATGCTGATATGTAGAAATACTGTACGTACAAAAGCACAGCTATCGATACGTTTTGCTCAAGATGATCAACATACAACTACTGATCTTTCTACAACAATTACAACTTCAGCTATTGATATCGCCAGGTTCGAAATTGAACATCATCATATTTTAACTTAGTTCTATTTTTTTTAAATATTTTTCAAATAATTCATCACTATTAATGGTAAAAAAATCTTTGATAAATTGCATGTAATTATTTTATTTCAATAGTCGAATACAACTACGTTGATGGTACCTGATATTTCAACAAGTAGAAACCTTAAAATCTTCTCAGAAGGAAATGTGATTTTGTTGAACTTGGTCGAAAGCAAAAGTGTCGAAATCTAAAAATAATACAATTTTTAAGAAGTGAGTATGTCGAAAATCATATTTTGTGCTAGTAAAATCTCTACTAATCGCACGTTCACACACTCATTTGTATCTTCAATTTTTCTTTCGATATTTTTCTTTGCGATCAAATTCAATATAATTGATGAACGAGCGATTATTCTTCAATTATGACTCGTCTAGATGATCAACATATAACTGACAATCCAACAATAGTAACATCACTGCTAATTCAAACTACTACAATAAATTTGTCAACCGAAGCCACAACAACATAGCTTGAGCTGGTCGAGATAGCAGAATCAAGTACTGTAGAAACCTCACCGAGTGAAGCAGCAACAACAGCATTGGAGGTAGTCGAAACAACAGAATCAAGTATTGTAAAAACTTTGCCGACTGAAATAACAACAGCAGCATCTGAACTAGTCGACTCAATAGTATCAAATACTGCAACAAGCCTGATTATTACAACTGTAATGGTAAGTGATTATTGTAAGACCAGTACTAAGTATAATATTCATTTCAAGAATAATAGTATGACTCTAGTATTCACAGAGGATGAAACCACTAACGCTGCGTAAGAATTTTCACTTCTGTTGCCTTTTTTCTTGAATTAGTTTCGTTTATTAGTTCACTAACTTCTATAATGACAAATATGGATCTGTCAACGGTAATATAAAATATAAGAATGTTATTTTTAAAAAAAGACTTTAAATCAGAGATAACTATTGCCACTATCTTGATTATCGCTAATATTATTTCCGTTAGAAGAATATTTTTTTACCAAACAAATACAATCTTATTCGTTTTTTTAAATCATAACAAAATATATTAATAGATTTATTTAAATAATCTAAAAGATCAACAAGAAAACTGGTAAATTCAATAAAATTTCATTTTGTTTTTAGATTGGTGTGGCTACGATTGCGAATGCCGCACATGTTGATGATAACAATAACACTCTAACTATCATTTTTGTCACTGTCCTTCCTATCGTTTCAATTTCACTAATAAGCATAATCATATTGTTTAAAATATTATATTCCAGACGTTGTCGTGCTCGTAATTTACGTTATTTCTCTCGAAATAATCGATACTATTCATCGAAAAACGGTGTAGAATTGAATATTGTTTCATTTTATTAATATTCTAATAAAAACTAAAATAATTTTTATAAAGATAGTGTGTTCACTAATGGAAACAAAAACATTATTAAACACAATAAATTACATATTTCTTTCTTAATCCATTTTTAAGTTCGGTGTTTTAAAACAGCGCCATCTGTTACAAACAATAAAATACGCTAAAGTATGATAAAGGATCATATATGAATTGCGAATGGTTAACGAAATAGTCAACAATTGTATTGAGAATGATAAAGGTATTTTTTTTTCGTTCTTATTCTTCTCCTCTTGTTCTTATGTCTCTCGTTCCCGCTGTCTCGTTCCCTCTCCCTCTCCCTCTCTCTCGCTCTCTTCGTTACCATCCAAAGTTTCTTTTCTAGGGAAAGATATTTTTTACATCTTATTATTTATTCTAAACATAAACGAAATCATTTCATTAATAGGTTCAAGTAAGATATTCGTAAATTGTCATTAAGTTAAATTGACCTTGATTATTTCGACCAAAATAGAAAACAGCTATTTTTTATTTTTTTTGATTCTTTTATTTTCTTTTTCAGATGATAATAATGTAAAAAATAAATAAATAATAGAACAAAGTCATGGATTCAACAATAAATATTAATACAAACGGTGATATTTCTCCTTCAAATTCATCTATTCTCGATCTTAGTCAGCGAACAACAATGATAAATACTAATAATTCAAATGTTATTATTGAAGACTGGACAAATAATTCTTTATGTATTTACACAGACTCAATTAATAATGATATTATTCAAACAGTTGAAAACAAAACAAATTTCAATATTGAGCAATCATTAACTGATCAATATAAAAATATTCCAATAAAAGAAGATTCAATGTCAGATAGTTCCAATATAAATAAATCAAAACTTGATACTTACGATTCTAATAAAAAAGACAAGTAAAAACTAACAATTGAAATTGTTTATTGATAAAATGAATAAATGTTTTAGTTCGCCAAAATCTCGAATAACAATTCATGAACTTCAACCATGTTTTAATTGTTCTCCTTTATCATTATCAGATTTTCTTTGGTCAAAATATTTCTCAATCATTAATGAACGATCAGTTTCCGATGAATTTTTCGATCATTATTTAACGTCCATTAATACAGCTTTTGAAATTGATATGAAACTTGAATATTGCTATGATACACAACGGGATCTATATTGGTTAACACAAATACAATTAGTTTCTCATAGTTTAGTTCTTTTACATTATGTTGGAATACCAGAAGATGATACATCTAAAGATTTTTGGGCGTATATTTATGGACAACGTTGCCACCCTATTGGTTGGTGTAAAGAAAATAGTAAATTAATGTTACCACCGCCTATTGTTACGCAAAGAGCTGTTCAACCAACAACTAATAATAATACGATTCTTAGTGGAAGTGATAAACAAATAACAATTGATCAAGGCGAAAATGAAGAATTACAAACTCCAGCTGCTTATTTATTTGATAGAGTAAATTTCTTTTAGAATAAAATTTTAAAAGAATCAGTTTATTTTAAATATTATGAATTAATATTCAGGAATCTTTTCTTTTTCCTACATATTCATATCTCGTTCGATTTATTATTTAATTGAAAATCATTCAACTATTCATATTTTTATATGAATAAAAGCTTTTAAAGACACAATAAGCCACGAAGAAATAGAATATATTATCTCATAGATTCACAAAATGAATTATATAGCGTGATCGAACATAATGGGAAAAGAAAAGCAACTGGCCTCCTGACAGTTTATCATAATACTGACAGATTCTAACCATTTTGCATGATTAGTCGAAAGATTTGACGAAGAATTTTTGTAGATTAGATATAGTAATCAACACAGTTGAATATTTTCGAAATAAATTTAAAAAAAAAAATATATATATATATATATATATATATATTTGATTGTTTTTATTTATAGAATATTGGCCTGAACCCTGTTGAACAAATAAAATGTGGTATGCTACTTGAAATTCAAGATATAAATTGTCCATGGACTTTATGGTTTGTTCGAGTAATAAATAATCGAGGTGGTCGATTACATTTAAGATATGTTACTAGTGTAAATGAAGAAGACTCTGATAATCTTTCGTCTGATATTCATATATTTTATCTCGATTGGCGTGTTCATTCTACTGGTTGGACTTCGAATAATTCATCCATTTATTTTTATCATATTCCAACATGTTTTAAATTATCATCTATTGATAAACAAAAAGTAATTGATATGTGTTTAACTGAATCAAAAACACAATTTATTCCACCAAACTTATTTAAAGATCAAGAAGAAATTCGTAAACATCGATATACAGAAGGCATGAAATTAGAAGTATACGATAGTAAAACACAAAATATTTATGTTGGTAAAGTCGGTCACATACATAATGAATATTATTTTGATATAGTTATTGATAATGAAAATCAATATTCATTTGTTGCACATGCAACTCATCCATATATATTACCAGCACATTGGGCTGCTGAACATAGATTTGCATTAATGAAAGGCAAAGGTATTCGTCAGTCAGAAGATTTTTGGAACTTATATACAGAAAAAAATCATGTAGATGATTTAGCACCTGAACGTCTTTTTAATTTAATAACATTGAATTCTAATGGAAATAATCGTGTTGAACCAGGAATGAAAATGGAAATGATTTATACTTTAAATAATAATGATTATGTATTTTCTGTAACACTTATTCATGTTGTTGATCATCTTATGTGGTTAAGAATTGATAATACAAGTTTATTTAATGGTCACGACGATGATTATCTGTTTTATCATGTTTTACCAATTAATTCTTTAGATGTTTTTCCTGTTGGATGGGCAAAGTTTAATGGGTTTAATTTATTAACACCAATTGAATATAAAGTTAAAATAAATACTTATGAACAAAATCGATACGAGTAAGAGTTGCTTCTTTTTCTTTTATAGAACATGATAAACTGATTTTGAAAATTAAAGGAATCAACAATGATGACATCATTGTTTTTCTTTCTGATTTATTAAGATAGAATGATAGAGCTCACTTATATCCGCTGCTATATTACTTGAGAATCTATTTGAATAAATGGATTTATCTAAGAATACTTGAATAAAATTTTGATTACTGTTGAAAAAAACGGCAAGTCTGACAAGTCAGCTTTTATTCTGATATAAGGCATCATGGAATTATCAAAACCCCCTAAAACTCTAATTAGATAATAGTACAAGACATAAGCATGTAAAATGTGTGAAACATATCGTTTTTAGTAGAATTCTTTATTATGAACTACATAGTAATAAAATTGACTGATTGTAATCAATCATTCAGTCGAATTTATGTGAAAATATTGATGTAATCATTTTGTAGAAATTTTTAAGTAGAATTATGATTCAATCGAGCAGTTGTCCTTGAATTCTCAGAGACCATAAAAATTACAAAATGCACTAACAATTATTAACCTCAGGCCTTTTTAAAGCTATCGCATATTGTTTATTCATAGCTATTGACTCGTAAAAGCAAAAGACTTAGTAAAGTGTCCTTCAGTGAGACACCTATTCGCAGAATTTCTGCGAAATTACAATCTAAAATACGATTAGATATCTATCGATAAAATGAAACATCTCCAGTTATTCGATAAATAGTGAGACTTGAATCTCTAACAATTTTGTTTGCTTTATCGAATTTTAAATAATTATCAATATCTCTTGTGATTTACATCGATTTTTGTTGATTTTTGATAATTTCTATTGAATTCTAATGGATAGGTAGACTAACAGTTTCGGTAAGAAAGATCCTATTGTTATTTTATGTATGCTATTGAAAGAGAAACGTAACTCAACTATGATCTATGATCTTAGATTAATATATCTGATAATATATAGAAAAGAATTCAAATATTTACGCTTAGAATTTTGATACTTGTTTCACATCATATTTTAGAAACACTTTATGTTGTCACCAGTTAGAAATTTACAGTATGAAGAAAATATAATCGATAAAAATAAATAAATTTTTACATTTTAGTTTATTCTCATCAGTAACACATCATCCAAAAATTCCTCGAATATATTTAAATGAAATATATCAATTAACATTATACATAAATATTCGATGTTTCTCTGGTCCTCACTTTTGCTCATCCCGTCTTTCGCGTATTCCATCTCAATTCGGCCCTGGACCTTACCGTAATGTTCTGATCGATTTGTTTCATCATCTCTTATCAGCATCATCAACATCAACAAATACTCTTCGAGTTTTACGGCGACTTGAACATTCATCTAATAGTGAATCGTCATCAAATTTTAAAACTGAATATATAAAAGCAGCCAAAAAATCTTCAAAACTAATTCGTCCTATATCATTGCCAACAAATCCTTATTTAATTTATCAATATATTCGTCATATATGTACACAATTAGAAACCTGTCCAAATTTAATTAGTATGAAACAAATCGATAGTAACTGTCCGGATAAATGTTATATACTAATAAATACTTTCGGTATGTTGAAATCTTTTTTTTGTTGTTGGTTTCAATTTCAGTTATTATTTTCTATTTGTTTTCTATTAATAAGCTCTTTCAATTCATTCTAAACATAAACGAACTCAACTTCGTGCTGGCCAAAATCGACAACGTAAACAAAAATCTTTATTATGTCATTTGAAGCCAAATCCAATAATTCCAACCGTTCCTACAAATGTTCTTGTTAATGAGTCATCATCAATAGATCAATCAAAAGAAATCTTGTCTAATGATAATTCTTCAGTGATAACACCAATACCTGGTAGTGATCGTAAAACACGTGGTTTTCGTCTTCATATTGAGCCAAGAACACATACTGTTACACGAACAAATAAAAAACAGAAGCTAACATCAACAGTAACAATTAAACAAGAACCTATGGATAATAATAATATTAAAATTGAACTTTCGCCATCCATAGCAATTCCGATTAAAGGTTGACTTATTAAAAGAAAATAAGAATTATCTACATGAAAAAAACCTTTTTCTTTTCTATTTAGAATTAAAACGAACTCGTTTAGGAAAGAATAAACGTTCTCCATCACCATCAGTAACAATGAACATTCTTTCGAATTCTTGTTCATCATCAAATAAAAATAAAAAGAATCGACGTTCTCCAGAGATGATTATCGATTCTGTTTCTTCTTGTTCCAATATAACTATTCCAAAAGTTGAAATTCAACAATCAACATTTGCAATTTCACCAATTGATACACGAAATCCAGTTACATGGAACGTTAATGATGTTTGTTCATATTTAAATCAATCTGGTTGTTCGTTTGCACTAAAAACAATTAAAGAACAAGTAAAATAAAATCTTCTTTCTTTTCCATTAATTAAAAGAAATACATTTCATTTATATATTGAAAAAGGAAATTGATGGTGCTGCACTTCTTCTTCTTGATGATTTACCTAAAGTGCAAGATTTACTTGAATTTAAATTGGGTCCGGCTGTTAAATTTTGCGATGTTGTTGAAAAACTTCGTACACAAGTCATTGATACATTTCATTCGTCACCATCTCTAAAAACTTCATGTTTATCAGCAACGAACACATCTTGATTAGAATTTTCTTTTTTCTGACAGTGTGTCTCTCTATGAATCTATCTTTATTCTTTTTCCGGATATTTAAATATTATGTTCTAACTGTTTTGCAAAGAACTGTATCTTTCTGTTTTTTTTTTGTTTTTGTATATTTTCTGTTTGATACATTTCTTCGAAAAAAAAGCAAGGAAATTAGATATTGCCATTCAATCACTAAACAAAGTTCATTAAGATGATTGATCAATTTTCGAATTTTACTTTCCATATTAAAAATATTGTTATTCCTGAGCCTACCGCCTGTCTAAATCAATTTAGAATCGGTTCATAATTGAGAAATCTTGAGGATAAATTCTAAGTGATGTTTTGCTGTTATTTTTCTCGCTTAAGGTGTAGCATTGAAAACTTACATTTATCAAGTGATCGCCTATTTCAAAAAGAAATAGAGCAGTTCATACGATGAAAACAGAAAACTTATTGCAATTGCAACTATTCAAGATAATGATTATGATGGTAATAAATCGGTAGTTTTATATGTAGTTTTACAAAATCCTGGAATTTTCGACCTTGTTGTAATCCATGAGATGTTTGTGATGAATTATATGTACAGTCATCATCAGCAGTTAACATCATCTGAGACTAAATTCATGTTGATTACTATAACAACATAAACTATTCCATAACCTGATACGATCACATAACTATAGAGATAAACTAATTCTGTATCGTAAACCTA